ACATCTAGCACTCACTGAACTCCTTCCCATGTTTTAGGCATTGTGCTCATTTTATAAATGGGGAAACTGTAGATTTAAAGACAAGAAATGATTTTCTCAAGATCTAGCTGTTGGAGGCAGAACCGGGTTAGAGGCCACCCAAAAGCAGAAAGCCATTTGCAGGCGGTAGGCTCACAACTTACACACAGGAGAAGAACAAAGGCAGAACTAGAATTGCCATGCTTTGGTCATTTTAGAGTTTAGAAAGGCATTTGTGCAGGTGATTGAATTTAATGTTTATATAAGCAAGCCAGTGAGGTCAACACTATCATTATACAGTTTTCTAGATGAAGAGGCTGAGATATACAAAGGTTAAGTAATTTCTCCATGCCAACTTTGCAAGTCGCACAGACACATTTCACATCAGGCAGTTTGACTTCCTGCCAAAGAGCATCCTGCCTCTCCATTGTGGTGTGTCGGAATGTTCCAGTCTCTGTAGTGCTCCCCAGCCATGACAGTGCTCCCCCAGCCACGGCAGTGCTCCCCCAGCCACGGCAGTGCTCCCCCAGCCACGGCAGTGCTCCCCCAGCCACGGCAGTGCTCCTCTGGCCCTTTTGAAGCCTCTACTTTCTCGTGTGGCTTTTCAGAATACAAGGTGCAGTCTAGATTCAGCTGTCATCTCATTGTAAACAACTTCCTTTGGCTATTGGATCTGAGCTGAAGCGAGGAGGCTAAGGATGGTTTCATTTACAATAGTATCCTCAGCTGTCACAGGAGAAGATGGAATGGAATCTGGGCTTTTTGTTAAATGTGTTGGAACCAGTTTTTGCTAGAACGTAGGTAGCACAATAGCTCTTTCAGAGCTGGAATTTATAAAGAATTATGGTACGCAGGAAACGATCTGCAAAAACCCCCCTCAGGCTGGGCCCACCTTCCTTGATCAGAGTGCCAAGCCATTGTGCACTTATGCAACCTAGAGCATGGCATCTGAATTACAGGCATAGGACATGGAAAAAAAAGCAAGTTGCTTCTCAGTGACTCCTAAGATCAAAGGAAAGATGGATTTCAGAAGTTAGCATACCTGGTCACGTGTGTGAAAGAGTTCCTACGATGACCTGTTTCATCCTAAGGCATAGCTGATCACTTCTTTTTTCTTTTTTGAACTAGTATTCTAGTTCTAGATGCTGTCTGCCCTTATATGGACACCCTTATGCTGTGCACCATTGATAGCGTCCAGGGAACACAGCACACACACACACACACACACACACACACACACACACACACACACACCTGGTCCCCCAAACAACAGAAAACCCCTTAGAGATGTGGAGGATGATGGGACTGTGACATACCTGAACCCTGGCTCACATCGGTCTGCAGGAGCTGCTTGGCTCGAATGATGTCCACATTCAATCTCCCAGCACTTGGTAGGTAGTTTAGAGACAGAAGCAGCTCCCCCAACTCCACTTCGTTCTGCAGGAAAGAGAATCATCAGACGGTCGCTTTGTCAGCCTTCCTCCTTTGTGTCCCCTGTACGGTGGCTGCGGGTGGGTCAGTTGACAGCGGGTGCTTCTTTCTTAGACTTTTTCTTTTGCGCGCACATGTGTGCATGTGTGCACACAGGGGGGAGGGCAACAGCTTTATGTGCATGTGTGTGAGTTTGCATGGAAGCAAAAGGACAGACAGACAAATGTAGGTGTCATCCTTATGAAAGCATCCACCTCCTTTGAGGCAGGATCTTATTGGTCTGGAGCTCGTCAATTAGACTAGACTGGCTGGCCAGTGAGCCCCAGGATCCTCCTGTCCCCGCCTCCCCAATGTTGAGATTACAGGCATGTGTTACCATGCTCAGAACTTTTATGGGGGTTGAACTCGGATCGTCAGGAATACCAGCACTTCATTGACTAAGCCAAGTTTGACTTCTTTTAGTTTCTGCATCCAATTATTTTCTTGTCTATCTCAAAAAGTGTTTCCTGCTCTTGGGCCATTTAACAGCAACAACAACAACCACTGTCACAACAACAGCAGTGATGGCCAAGGAGGGTGCTGACTGCTTTATGTGGGACAGCCAGTGTAGCCTTCGTGACGAGCCCCAGCGGCAACAGCGTTTACTTCGTTTAGTAGGTGGTGAAAATGAGACTCAGCCCAAAGTCACACGGCTGGGAAGATGTAGTTTAGACAAGGCAAATGATGGAAGACTCTTAACCCAGCAGAGAGCCACCCGAGAAAGATACCCTTCTTAACCTGTAGCTGACAACAGAGCCCACCCCTTACCACAACCGTGCTCAGCACATTGCCTCTCCTACCAAAGAGCACACCCTCCCTCTATCTCAGGGCTATGAAAAGTCTACACCAGTACCCAGGATGGATGACTCCATGCTGCCTAGAGAATAGGAGCCCTTATTTTCATGCCTCTATTTAAAAAAAATTGTAAAACAAACAATGTCAGCCACTTCAGAGTAGCGAGTCGTTCCTCATGTACCCACTGCCCAACTGTGGTAATTATAAACTTTTACCAAATGGTGTTTTATCTATACTTACCTCTATTTATATAAAAATTAGCTAAATGTTTTAAGTTAAATCCCAAGTAGGATATAATTTTTCCCGTTTATCCCTCCCCAAAGCATCGCTAGGTGATCAAGGCATTAAAATAAGTACACTTAGTGCTGTCAGCTTCCAGGCATATTAGAAGTCAAAAACATCCAAGGAATCTCAATCTATACCCTATCTCAGATTCAGGGGTTACCTCGTAATCAATCTAGACTTCAACATCTGCATTCGACCCCATATATGATTCTGGAGTAACTCCTAGAACATACACCTTTTTTATTAGTAATATTTCAGAACGTGTCTCTAAAGATGTCTCATCCATGCCCCCAACCATCCAGCTACCTACTTAATGCACGGATGCATGCATCCTCCCACTCACCCACTCGCTCACGCACACATGCGCGCCGGCATCCATCCACGTCCTCTCCCCCTTTCAGCAAACTAACGTCAAGTGCCCATTCTAAAGCAATGCTTATCACAAAAAGGCTTCTAGCTGGCCCGGACATGGTGCTGTGTGCCTTTAATTGCGGCATGTGAGAGGCAGAGGCAGGCAGATCTCCATGAATTTGAGGTCAAGTTGGTCTACGTAGGAAGTTCCAGGCCAGCCAGGGCTACACACTGAAACCCTGTCTCAAACACAAAACAACAAAACCGGATTCCTAGCTGGATCAAGTTGACCTATAAACATGAAAATACCTCACACTTAACTACAGATTTCAAACTTGTAGCCCATGGGTGTATTTTGTTTGGCTCGTATCATATTCAAACTGACAGTTACTAATTATTATGTACTTTTAAAGAGCAAACTAGTTCACATTAAAAAAAAAAATAGGATTTCTTGCTTTGCTTGAAAAACAGGAAGGTCTGCTGGTGCCGGGCCCAAGTGCCCACTTGGCAACTGATGAAGGTTCTTTGCTTGGACAGACTTTATCCTGGGCCCATCTGGGTACTTACTGTGGGAAGCCAGTTTTTACCCAAGGGCCTGCTCACTTCACTTACCAAGAGCCCCTCCCTTACTTTTTCATTATATTTTATTTTATTTAGGTAGTGGTTTGTGGGGCGTACCCTTACCCACTGAGCACTTTTGCTGGCCCCAAACCCTTGCTGTCAATATCTGAGTTCTCACTGTCTCAGGTTCCTCTCCTTCAGCAAGGCTGATTTAGACAGAATTCCTCTTACCTCGGAGGCACCCTCCGTAATAGGTAATTCTAGGTACAAACTGAGCCTCAGCTCTGCTTCTATACAAAATCTCATTGCTGTGTTCCCGGTGCCATCAGGATGGTCCTGACTAAGCCTGATTGAGTGCTTTTTTTCTTTTTTTACTTTTGGTTTTTTGAGACAGGGTTTCTTTGTGTGGCTTTGTTTGGAGACTGTCCTGGAACTAGTTCTTGTAGACCAGGCTGGCCTCGAACTCACAGAGATCCACCTGTCTCTGCTTCCCAAGTGCTGGGATTAAGAGTGTGTGCCACCACCGCCTGGCCTAATTGAGTGCTTTAAAGTGCCGTTTGGGTACTGGAAAGATGGTTCTGTCGGTAAAGCATCTGCTGCACCAGCATGTGGATATGTGTTTAGATGCCCAGCACCCACATGAAGTCTGGGTGGTGGCACACAGCCACTCCAGTGCTAGGGGCTGGGGGAGCACAGAGACAGGAGACTCCCTGGAGCTCACTGGCAGACAGGTCACCCTAGCTGAACTTATAAGTTCTAGGTTCAGGGAGAGGTCCTGTCTAAAAAATAATGTAGAGAGTGAATGGAAAAAATATTTGATATATACCCATACAAACATGTACATATTCACAGAAACATATACACATGCATGTACATAGAACATGTACACACATACTGACACAAATATGTACACATACAAACATGTATATCCACAAGCATATATATATATATATATACTCTTCACACATGTACACATCCACACCAACATGTACACACCCACAAACATACATACCCATATACACACAACATAAACACCCATATATATGCAAACATGTACATACCCATATACACACAAAGATGTACATATGCAAACATGCATACCTACAGGCATGTACACATCTATACAAACATGTACACACCCACAAACATACACACATGCATATAGCACATAATACATGTGTAACTATCAGCACGTACACACATATATACACACTTACAAAAACATGTACACAATGCACACACACAAATATATGCAGTCACATGCATACAACATAAACATGTACATACCCACATACACACAAATATGTACACATATAACATGCAGACCCACAAGCATGTGTACACCTACACAAGTACGTAAATACACACAAACACACAAATATACACACATGCAAACATTCTCACCACACACAAATACATGTACATACACACATGCTTTCCCATAAACATACACACAAGCATGTACACATAAACATACACACAAGCATATACACACACCTACAAACAAGCGCATACCCACACAAACATGTACACCCACAAATATGTACATGTGTGCATGCATTTGTGCACGCGTGCGTGCACACACACACACACACACACACACACACACAGAGTCTCTGATGGAGCTGGAGATGTAGTTCAGTAGTAGAGCATTTACCTAGCAAATATAAGGCTTGACCTCAGGCCTGAAAAAAAAGTGTCATTGGGTATTTTTTCCTTAACACCCCCCACTACCAGTTTGGTGAGACCTGCCCTTGTCGGGTTGTGTCCCCCGGTTACCTTCGCCCTTCCAGGTTTCTCTCACCCTGGCCTGGAGGGTCAGATTATCATGACAGGAAATCTGAACTGGGTACCCTGGGTCATAGTTGCTGGTGGCCTCCTTCTGGCCCTTAGGGGCCTGGAGGGGGCAGCATTCTAGGACCTGACCCCACAGGTGCTTCTGTCTCCCTGTCAGTAAGGCTGAGGTTCCACAGGAGACAAGTCAGGGGAAGCCATCCAGGTCCTCATGAACTCTCCTCTTCCCAGGTTTAAAACCCCAAACAACACTTCCCTCACTCCTTCTAAAACCTACAAGCTTCTCAGCTCGATGCCTACTATGTGGACCAGGGGTGGTGCTGGGAGGGATTAACAGCTCAGTCAGTCAAGCTGCCTAAACATGAAAGAATAACCTTGGTGTGTTTAAAAAACAACATGAAGGCTGGGGTGTGGCATGGCCGGATTCTAGAGACATCCATGTGAGCCATGACAAGCTGCTGGGTGGCTGTCCCCATGGAAGCCTGCTCAGCCTTAGCCGTTCTCACAGTAAGTGGAAGGGATAGGAGGCCACTGCCTGCATCCTTAAGACCTAGGAACCTCTTGAGTCCTTCCTACCACCTTCAAGAGGCCTGCTGATTCCCTCATCCGGGCCACCCACTGGACCTTCCGAGGCAGCTTCCTGGGCTCATCCCCTTTCTAGCTGTTTCTTGTCTTACATAAAGCAAAGCTCTTTTATCCTCTTGCTTGTGTAGGTTTTAAGCTTACCGTTCCTTCCTCCTCCCAGGTTCACCCCCACACCAATACCACAGCATCCACTCCCGTCCTTCCGGGGAAGTATGCGCATCGATCCAGCTGCTCTTCTGCTTGCTCGTCACAGGAGTGATCAGTGTGCCGCCCGGGGGCCGGTTAGCAAGAACTAAAGAGCAGGCCAACTGAACAGCAGGCTTGGTGATTCATTTAACAAGCTCCATTCAACTGTTCCTGGATCCTCAGCCCAGGGGGCGTCACGGTCGTGACCACCACAGCAGTCAGTCAGTAAGACAGCGGCACAGGCCAGGCCCCGTTCCACGTGTGGCTGTTATTCTGTCCTTCCAACGACTCCCGAGGCCCCCGCGTTTTAAAAGAAAGAATCCATTCAAACCATGCAGTTCAGGTTAGGGATGACAGGCAGGGTGCAAGCTCGGCTCCTGGCTTTAATCTCGCGTGATCTCCTTGACAGG